AGCGGGTGTGAGCAGGCAACCCCCAGGGCCCTCCCTGTCCAAGGGTGGCCGTCAGAGCAAGGACCGGCCTGGCCGGCCGCCTACCTTGAACGTGATCTCGGCCAGGCAGCGGGTGCACTTGATGTAAAAGCGGAAGATGGGCAGGCCCAGGTAGACCTCGTTCTGCACCGTCTCCTTCCGTGCGTTGAACTTCTTCCCCTTGTAGATGTACTCTCCGCACGTCTTGCACCTGGGGGCGGGACGGAGAGATTGGGCTCTGGGTTCTCTGGGTCCTACTGCTAGGATGCTATGGCACCCTGCATGATCACCGTTTGCTTGCCTCTGGCGACGTGGAGCTCCCTCCCTCACGAGGCTGGCTGCCTGCCTCGCCGTGTGCACCGATTCCCTCCACCTCCTTGGGAGGCAGCCGGATAGCTGAGGTCTGCCTGCCACACGCTCCCAGGAGCAATCCGGCTGCTCGCGGGGGCATGCTGGCTTCCACGAGGGGAGAATCCTCCCTTGTCCTCTGCTGCTCAGGGTCTGCGCCCCCCAGCCCAGGCACGCCCACCTCCTGGCCACGCCTACAGATGCCTCCAGCTCACTCCTACCCCAGGGCCTTTGCTCTGAGGTTCCCACAGCCCGACACACCTTCGTTCCTCAGACCTCAGCTCCACATGCATCCGTGTGACGTTTCCCTGACACCCCAGCTGCATAGCCACCTCCCTCCTCTGCCACCAACCCAGAGACTCCAGCCTGTCTGCCTCACGTGGCCCACACACACCCTGTGTGAACCTGCCTGAGCTCTGATAATCTGCACTCCCCATCAGACTGTGGGCTCCATGACTGGCACACAGCAAGTGCCCAATAAATGAGTGCAGAAAGAATAAATGAAAGAATGAAGGAGAGAGAGAAAGCAGGCAGCCGAACAACATGGACCAAACTGCATTGGCCCAAAGGGGCCTTTTACCGTTAGGCGTGTGTGATTTCAGATATGCCGAAATGTAAAAAGTTGTGGGGTTCAGAACTGGTTGAATACCATAATTCCAAAGTACCACAAAGGACGTGATCTGGGTACTGTAAGGGGGACAATGAAGGCCTCCCAGAGGGGTTGAGATTTGAGCCAAGATATGGAGGCCAAGGAGGAGGCATGTGAGAGCAGAGGGAGATGGGTTCCAACAGGGGCAACAGCACGTGCAAAGGCCCTGAGGTAGGAATGAGCATGGCTGTTGGAGGAGGTGACATGGACACGGCCCCATCTCTGTGCTCACACTTTACTAGCCATCAAGACCTCAAGGCAGGCCCTGGTTGGGGGCTCTAAGATATTGGGGGGTTTAATCCTGAATAGTGAGGAGAGTGAGGCTTGGAGCAGTCAGTGTCTGAGCCAGGACCAATGACCCAGTCTGAACACTGGGGACAGGCTGCCTCCGTGGACACCAGGCACTGGGTCCCTCAGCCATGACCAGAGTGGGGGGCTCCTGGAGGGGTGCTCACCTCATGTTGAAAGGCGCCATCAACCGCACCACGTACTGCCGGTCTTTGGGGAGCTTGAGTTTGGGGATCTTTGACGGGTCGAAGTCGGGCGGGTAGTATTTCTGAGGGGAGGAAGGAAGCGTCAGGTGGAGCTGTTTTCGGAAGCAGGGGCCGGCCGTGGGAAGAGGGGAGGGACTCTGGGGAGCCGTGTCAGGGGGTCCCCAAGACCACCCCAGGTTCAGCGATTTGCAGGGAAGACTCAGCATAGACATCCTCATGGCCACGAATGTAGTTAATCCCCCCAACAAAAAGTCACGACAACACACATGAAACGCTGTCTACAAGGGAACCTCACAGAGACCGAGGGCTGTTGTCGGGGGCAGCTCACACTGGCACTCTCTGCTGGCAGGTGCCACGATTCCAGACTCCCAGAAACAGAGCCAGGGTTCAGCATAAACCATGCTGTTGGCGCAGCTTAAGCACCGACAGCCATTCTCATCAGGGGACGGTGGGAACCACCCTGAAATTCATGTTGTCAGATGCCAGCCGAGGGCAAAACCTGGCAAGCCGGTCTTTCTTAGCAGAGCAGTTACTCAGGCTGATGGAGTCGTTAATAATTCTAAGCGTCACAGCAAGGCAAGGGCAAGTTTGGGTGATCAAAAATAACTTCCATCAGAAACCCAGAAAAGAAAGAACTTTGTGTTCTGAGCACCTATTAGGTGCCAGACGCTACACAGAGCTCTTTACCTCCCTGGGCTCAAGGACTCCTTGCAAAGGTTCCAGGAGACAGCAATATACCCATTTCACAGAGGGGGAAACTGAGTCCTGCTGGTTTCAGCGACTCAGGATTCAGACCCAGGGACATGACTCCGGGGGGAAATGGTGTGGTCTGGTGATTAGGAGCACGGGCTAACAGAGCCCGGGTTTTCCCTTAACACAGTTGGCAGCAGGAGTTGAGACACCTGGCGACACTGCGGGTCAGCGACCCGCGAAACAGAAGCTCTTGGCAAAACCTAACCCCTCCAAGGAACGTGATTGGCTAGAGATTCCCTGTGGGGCGGAGCTTCACAGAGTCCCACCCCAGAAGGGGATGGTGCACAACGGGACGGCCACTATTTTAAGAAACCCCGCCTCCAAAGAAAGTGATTGGCCCATTCCCTTCAGAAAAGCCAAACAGGTGAAGGGAATGGGTAAACACCCCAAGCCCCGCTCCCTAGGTGATTGGGTACGACCCAGCCCGGAAGGGAAGGTTTAATGAAGGCCCACCCCCCAAGGAAAGTGATTGGGAGGGGTTTGGGAAGCCCCGTCCCCGCGGAAGGCCGTTGAGGAAGACGTACAAGAATCCAAGAGGAGATTCCAGGAGATCCCCCAACTCCCGGAGTTCCCGGATATCCCTCTCCGCTTAAAAAGCTCCAGTCGCCGAACACTTACGTTTAATACTTTTCGTTCCGACATCTTTGCCTCCTAATCGCCTCACAAGCACCAGAGAACTAGTTAGTCTCGGTAATTAATAAGCTTCTCCGACCAAACCCTTACTTCCGTTAACGTCACTTCCTTTAGCCCGTATTATTGGCCACAGCATATACGGCTTCCATTTTTCATTGGCTGCCATCCCCGCCTATCAAGCTGCTAGTCCTGCAGTCTTTCCTCCGAGGGTGCATCCTCCAATGCGCGAGGTGAAGGTTCCGGTGGAGGGGGTGGGGGGCCTTAGGGATTTGGAGAAGTTCTGAGGAGGCGGTGTGCCCCCTGGAAGTCAGCAGCGGATCCTTAAAATTTTGTGGCTTGACGTGGCTGCTGGTCCTGTCACTCCTTCTTGTTTTTTCTTTCATTCAGCAACTATATATGAAGCGCCTGCGCTGAGTGCTGGACTCTGGGAACCCGCACATCCTTCCTGTGCCTTCAGCTCTCACGGGGACGGGGGGGACACACATGTGGCCACAAAGGAGCACCTTGGACGCCCCACCACGTGTTTATCTGGAGTGACGGGCATCACGTTAAAGATCAGGCTCCAAATCGACCTCCCAAACGCACGCAGTATATCCGAAATGTCCCTCCGTTGCCCACCACTGTCTTCCCTTTAAAGAGGACATTCTATCCTGTACCTTCCCCAGCCTCCTCCCCTCTCATGAATGTTTTGCTCTATGTCAGATATCTTGCTCAGTGTCAACAGAAGAGAATCCAAACTCTGTAAAATAATTTAAAGAGGTTTATTCTGAGCAGAATATGTGTGATCATGGCATGGCCCAGAGAGCCACACCCAAGAAGCCTTGAGCAAGCGGTCCCACCATGGTTGGGTTACAGTTTCGTTTTATATATTTTAGGGAGACAGGAATTACACTGAAAAATCATAATACATGGAAGGCGTACATTGGTTTGGTTGGGAAAGGCAGGCCATCCTGAATCAAGGGGCTTTCAGGTTATAGGTGGGTTTCAAGATTCTTTGATTTGCAATTGGTTAAAGAAATGAAGCTTTGTCTAAAGGCTTGGAATGTTTTAAGTTAAAATAAGGAAGCCTGCTAATCAGAGACAAGCCACCAGACATACTGAGACCCAAGTGATCTGTTAACTAAATTGATGACCTGCAGGTGTGGTTTAACCTTTCTCTTAACAAGTTTGACCTCCGTTAACTGCACAACTGGCGACTCAGCTGTAAGGTTTTTCTAGGGTTCGCTTGGCCAAGAGGGGGTCCATGCATTCGGTCGGCTGGGGGGCTTAAGATTTTATTTTAGTGCACATCACTAACAGGAGGACGCATCAGAAAACAAGACATAAGATTCCTGCCCTCACAGAGATCATTGGTGGGACAGACAGACAGTAAACAAACATTTTTGGGGCACAGTAAATGATCAGAAGATCATAGTATAGGACAGTGTACAGTGTTACATAAAATTTACAGGAGGCCATTGGTTTGGACAGAGCTCCTGCACTAGGCCCAACAGAACAGACCAAAATGCCACCAAACTGAAACTATATTATTTATCTGACCTTCCCAGAAATCAGGAAAGACAGAGAGAGGGAGAGAATCACCAAATTCCCAAACAGGCCAATTTTAGCCAACATGATAAGGAAGGCTCCCCAACCCGCTTTAACTTTTACCAAAAAAAGTAATTTTGAAGTGACCAGTCGCTTTTTGTTTTCTGTTTCTTCTTTCTTCATCCCTTTTCTGTCCAAAAACCAGCCTCCTCTGCTCAGCTCATGGGAACACTCATTCTATTTCATGGAATGAGGTGTTACCCGATTCTAGAACAGAATCGCAAAGAAAAGCCAGTTAAGACCTTTAACACACTGACTGCCACGTGAGTTGTATTTAACTCAGGCTGGTTTTGAGCCCTGGGTCTCGTGATGCAAAATCCTGCAGTTGGTGCATCAACATCTTACTTGTTGATGTTTTTATTGTTACAATTAATGTTTACAATTTAATTCTAAAAACATGGCTTGCGTTGCATATAACTCACGCACAGAAAGCAATAAAAAACAACAAATTAGAAAGGATTGTTTTGTTTAAATAAAACACCATGGCCCCAGGGGAAAAAATTTTTTTTTTCTAGTGTGGCAGCCAATGTGTTAAACTAAATCTGCTGTGGTTTTGCCTTTTGACCATGGAGCAGGGTGGTGTATGAGGCTCCTATAGCTGCTGTAACAAATGACCAAAAACTCAGTGTCTTAAAACAACACATATTTATTATAGCTTTAAAAGTCAGAAGTTGAAAATGGGTAGGCAGGGCTGGCTGGTTCCTCCTGGAGGCTCTAAAGGGAGATTCTGTTTCCTTGATTTTTTTTTTTTTTTTTTGAGACAGAGTCCCACTCTGTTGCCCAGGCTACAGTGCTGTGGTGTCAGCCTAGCTCACAGCAACCTCAAGCTCCTGGGCTCAAGTGATCCTCCTGCCTCAGCCTCCCGTGTAGCTGGGACTACAAGCATGTGCCACCATGCCTGGCTAATTTTTTCTATATATTTTTAGTTGTCTGGCTAATTACTTTCTATTTTTTAGTAGAGATAGCGTCTCACTCTTGCTCAGGCTAGTCTTGAACTCCTGACCTCGAGCAATCCTCCCACCCTGGGCTCCCGGAGTGCTTGGATTACAGCCATGAACCAACACACCCAGCCAACAGTGAGTCTTTTCTAACTAAAATTCCAAGATTCTTATCTTAAATAAAAAATATCTCACATCCACAGTTCAAGGGGAGAGCACATCTCCATTTCACAGATTGGGAAACTGAGGCTCAGAGGGGCAAAGTCAGCTGCCTGAGGTTGCCCAGCAGCTTGGCGGCAGCAAAGCCACGACTCCGACCCCAGCCAGGTGGGTCCCGTCCACCCTCAAATGGCTGGCAGCAGGAGTCGGGGGTGTCAAGGACCCAGCCCCTCTTTAGGGACACTGGGAACCCCCACTAGTCGCGAGGCATCGCGAGAGTGGTCGCAGGGAGGCTCCAGTCGCTCGACTCCCCGTAGTCAGTGAGGTCCTCCGCGGCCACCTGCACGCAGTACCTGGCCCGCGGCCGCACAGCCCTGAGGGTGAAGGACGTGGCTTCAATGGGCCCCACCTGAATGCACAGAGAGAGTCCGGTCACTAGCGTGAGAAGACTGGGACGCGCCACTGTGCGCAGAACCACACAGCCGCGCCCTCAGTCCTCCCTGCCCCGGGCTCTGCCGCAGGCCTCTGGTCACAACCGCCCACCCCAAACAGCACGCCGGGCCCTTCCCGATCCCAGCTCTCCGGATTTCAGTGCTTGGCCCCAAAGCCCCCTCTTTCAGGAATCCTTCCTGCACCCCACCAGCCCCTATGTGTGTCTCACCCATCCACCAGGATGCCACCATCCTTCCCAACAATGCTCCTCCTCCTGGGGCCCAAACCAGGACCTCTGGGATGGGATTCAATGTCTCTCTTCCCCCTGGCCCCACTGTATTAATCATGGGTTTTTGGTTTTATTTTTTTGAGACAGGGTCTCACTCTGACCCTCTGTCTCCTCCTTATAAGGCTGGAATACAATGGCGTCATCATAGCTCACTACAACCTTGAACTTCCAGGCTCAAGCGATCCTCCCTCCTCAGCCTCCTGACCAGCTGGCAGATACCCAGGAGCGGAATTGTTGGGCCGCCTTTATGTCACATACTGGGAATCCCAAGCCCTGCTCGAGGTCCCAGCACACCCGCCGGCCTTTGCATGAGCCATTCGCTCTGACGGGTACCCCATCCCTGGCTGCCCGACCCTCCTCACCTGACGGAAGCGGGCGGCCCCGAGCCGCTTGTAGCGGATCCTGTATTTGAGCGAGAAGATCTCCGGGAAGGGCCAGGACCGGGGAGGCTCCCACCGCACCTGCAGCTGCTGCCCGGGGAGGGGGCTCAGGCGCACGCCTTCCGGGGGGTCAGGCTTGACTGACGGACAAGCAGGAAACAGGGTCAGGGGACAGCAGGTTCATTCATTCATTCATTCATTCATTCACCCAACAAATACTTATTCATAGTCTACTGCAAGCCCGGTGCTGTCCCAGACAGAGAGGACAGAACGGTGACGCAGACCGATCCACTCCCATCCTCGTGGAGTTCACGATGCCGCAGGGAGAGGACAGGAAACATCGGCCCATGACAAATCCATGGGTCACCCCAGAGGAGGGGAGAAAGTGAAGCATTGTTAGGATGGGAGTGGTTTGCAACGTTCTTTTGAGACATAATTCACAAATCATAAAACTCACCACTTTAAAGTTGCACATTCACGAAGTTGTGCAACCATCACGACTAATTCCAGAATATTCCATCACCTCAAAAATTAACCCCATCCCCATTAGCAGTCACTCCCCATCCCCTGCCCAGCCCCTGGCACCCACAAATTCACTTTCTCTCTCTGTGGATCTGCCTGTTCTGGACATTTCATACAAACGGAGTCTCACACTGTGTGTCCTTCTGTGTCTGGCGTCTCTCACTGAGCACGATGTCCTCAAGGTCCCTCCACGCTGTAGCCTGTGTCAGAGCCTCGTCCCTTTTCAAGGCTGCGTGATATTCCAGCGTGTGGATGGACCGTGTTGTGTTTATCCATCATCCATTGACAGACACTTGGGTTTTTCCCACCTTTTGGCTGTTGTAAATAGCGCTGCTATGGACTGGGTGCACAGTCTGTGTGTGGACGTATGTTTTCATTTCTCCTGTGCATGTGGCCATAAGTGGCATCGCTGGGTTATATGGAAACTCCATGCTCAACTCGTTGAGGGATTGCCAGACTGTTTTACTAACCACCAGCAATGTGTAAGGGTTTGCAATTTTTAATAATGTACTAAGAGAGGCCTCACTGAGGAGGTGACACCTGGGCAGAGTCCTAAAGGGGATGAAGGAAGAAGAAGTGGGGACATCTCGGGGAAGGTGTTCCAGGCAGAGGGAACAGCCTGTGCAAAGGCCCTGGGGCAGGACGGAGCCTGGCATGTTGGAGGCACAGCGAAGAGGCCCGTGTGGCTGGAGCAGAGTGAGGAGGGGGCGAGAGGGAGGAGGGGAGGGCGGGGAGGGGACAGGGAAGGTTGTGAAGGGCCATGTGGGCTGCAGGGAGAACTTGGGCTTTGACCCTGAGGAAGGTGGGAGCCATGGAGGGCTGGGTCCTGACCCAGGTGCTCACAGGCGCCCTCTGGTGGCTGCTGCGGGGAGGACAGACTGTGGGGGGCAAGGGCGGGAGGACCAGGGAGGAGGGGACTGGGCTGGTCCCACAAAGGCAGAGGAGCAGAAAGAAGGTGTCACATGTTTGACACACTGCCAAGGTGGCACTGCCGGACTGGGTGACAGGTGGCAGGCGGGGGGTGGTGAGGGAGAAAGGGGAACAGCAGGAACCAGCTGGCAGCCCCCCGCCACTCCCCGCCGCCCCCCGCCGTCCCCACTCACTGATGTGCTCGGCCACGAAGGGCAGGAAGCTACTGCTGGCGCCCCAGGGGTGGACGGCCGTGACGTTGAGCACATACGGCACCATGGAGAACAGCTGGACGTCCGGGATGGCGCAGTTGGTGGCCTCGGGTGTAGACTGGAGGCAGGGCCGGCTCTCTCCCTGGGCGGCCAGGCCAAGCCTGCACACGGGGTGCACACGCTGAGGACCGTGGGAAGTGCCTCTGGCCCCAGCATCTCCTGTCCCTGGAGCCCAAGTGGCAGGCAGGCGGTGGGAGGGGGAGCAGCCCCAGAGGGGCATCCTGCCTTTGGCAGCTGTGTCACCCCAACATCAATGACCCAGGGTCAGGGGCCACAGACCACAGGGAGAGGCTGGGGTCCTGGATCCTAAAGCTTTCTGGGACGCCAACATTCCCACGTTAGAATCCCCACACTCCAGCACCTGTGGATTCCCACATAGACCCTGGAATCTGACGTCATCAGAGTCTCTCGACGTCTTAGACCCCAAGACGTCAGACTTCCCAACATCGAGACTCTAGCTCAGCACTGTCCTATAGAATTTTCTGAAAACTTCTCAACATGCTGTGTTTGGTGTTGACCCCGGTAGTAGCCACAAACCCCATGTCACTTCTGGGAAACTGGGCGGTCCACCGAGTGTGACTTTTTGATTTACATTTAGATAATTTAGATATATAAATGAAACAAAAAATTTTCTGGGATCAGAAAACGTGGGAAAAAGTTGTTTGGAACAACTTGAGGGTGTGACTCTACTCCTCCAACCGCAAATTTAAATCGAAACCCAGATTAAATGTAAATCTAAACCCAGATCAAATATTGCTGATGAGAACAGAGCGTTCGAATGGAAATGTGCTGTATGTATAAAATGCACACGGAATGTCAAAGACGGTACCAAGAAAAGAATATAAAATGATCTCATTCATTTTTAAAAATGACTATGAGTTGAAACAATATTTTGGATATGCATATTACCTGATATCAAGTTAATTTATATTATAATTAACATATAACATACCATTTGTCATTTATTTATATATTTTAAAGACAGGGGTCTTGCTACATTGCCCAGGCTGGTCTGGAACTCTTGGGCTCCAGCGATCCTTCCCACTCTGGCCTCCCAAGTAACTGAGATTTCAGGTTACATATAGTTATTCACTTGAATATATAAATTACTTATAAAGCCATAAACATGAACTTAAATTACATTAAATCATCTTAAGTTATACATATTCAGAATATTTAGATATGATTTAAATAAAATATTAAAATTAATCTCACCCACGTCTTTGTGTCGCTTTCACGTGGCTACTTGAGAGCTTTAAACCACACGTGTGGCTTGCAGTACGTGTATGACGTGCAATATGTCATGTTAGGAGGTATGTTTCTATTGGACAGGCTGTTCTAGAATCTCAAAGGTTTGGGATTTGGGACGTCTGGGTCTCCAGGTCTCCTGACTCAGGGTTTTCGGGGCCAGAGTTCTGGACTTTCCGGGAAGCCCAGCATCCCCACGGTCCCTCCCGGGCTCTCTGACCTGTAGGTGGCAATGAAGGGCACGGGCCTGGTGGCGTTGGGAGCTGGCCGCAGGGTCCAGGAGCAGTCCACCGCTAGCGGGTATCGGGGGGCTCGACATTGCACCCTGGGCAGGGTGGGAGTGGCTGGGGGCCCCCAGAGGAAGAGAGAGGGGACTGTGAGCTTCTGATTCACGCCCAGATCATCACAGCCCTACCCCACATCGGCCCCTGCCACGTCCCCAGCCGGCGCCGGGCACATGGCAGGCACCTGGGGACGGTGCGTGGGATGAAAGGCACCAGCCTCATCTCTTGCCCCCACAGCAATGCGCCAAGCTGGAAACTACCAGCCCATTTTCGAGATGGAGAAACTGAGGTTAAAGGAGCCACAGAGGGGAAGCCGGTGAGGAAGGAGAGGGTTACCGCATCCCCTCTTTGTGACAATTTTGTCATGAAGCACACGGACGTGTTCTCTATTCCAAAATGGATGAACGAACGGGGCTCAAATTCCTATCTGTATCTACACAGGTCTGTAGAGAGCGCCAGGCTGTGGCTGCCGCTTTCTGGCTCTTGCCTCGGGGAGGCGTTCTTCCTCCCTGTGCCTCGGTTTCCCCATCTGTACAATGGGAGGGTAACCCCGTCCCCCTGCAGTGGGCACACAGGAAATGTGTGACTCCCACCCCAGCCTAGAATGATCGAAGGCGGAAGGTCAAATTCCTGTCCCCTAATCCCGTCCCTCTGTCCGGGTGCCCCAAGCCCCCCTCCAGGTCCCACGTACCTTCCCTTCCACGGCAGGGCAGGCAGCTGGCCCAGAGGGCGAGGGCCAGGAGAAGCCCCAGGGTCATGGCTGGAGCGGGCTGGCTTCCAGGAGCTGGAGTGGGGACAGCACTTGGAGACTGAGGCAGGAGGCAGGGACTTGGGGCCGCCCAGGGGGAAGCCCAGCCTGGGATCCAGGCACCCCCTTCCCCTCGGGTCTGACTCACTGGCCGGGTTCCTGGGACCCGGGAGCAAGGCGGCGGCCCCCGGCCCCTGCCCCCGCCACCTCTGCGCGGAAGGTCTCGGGGAGAGGAGGCTGGGAAAGGGAGAAGTGCGGAGCTCTGGCCTTTCCCCGCACGCGGGTCGGGTCAGCAGCCCTCCCTCCCTTCCTTCCGGCTGCAGCCATGGGGGAAACCCCGGAACTGGGGGGCCGGCGACAGGGACACAGGACAAGACAGAGGCTGAGACGGGAAACGAGAGACAGAGAGAGACAGAGAGACAGAGGCAGAGACAGGGACCCAGCGACACCCAGGCGCAGACTGGGGAGAGACTCACTGACCACCGAGATGGACACAGACGGACCCCTCCGTCCCTTGCCACAGGGAGACGCAGGGACGCAGCTGCCACCACGGGTAACCGGGACTCTAGGGACCCGCTAGCGCCTACTGGGCACAGCGCCTGCCCCGACACCCAAGGAAACCCCCAGGGCCACGACCGGGGATTCCCGGCCACACTCCCGCGTCCCCTCCAGGAACTGGAAAGCGCCAGAAGCCTGCGGGGATTTCGCGGGGGGAGGGGATTTGCCGGGGGGCGGGGGGCTCCCGCCAGGGCCGGGTTTGGGGTTCGGAGGTGAATTCGGCAGTGCAGGCGCAAGCTCAGATCTCGTCGTTCTTTTAACATTTGGATATTTTGTTCCTCGTGGACATTATTTTGCACCCGTTTAGCCTTTTCTGTAAAATACGGCATTCGGATGGGATTTGTCCCCAGGACTGAGTCTGTGGCTGGGGGCGTGGGGGGTGCGCACTCCCTGCTCCGGGCCACCCCGTCCCGTCCGCGCAGCAGGAGCCCAGCAATCAGGCGATCACGCATCTGTCCTGTGCACGGTATGCTTTTATTCCTGGGGTGGCGTCTGGTGACGGGGTGTTGACGGAGGGGACGGAGGGACTCACAGGTTCTCCGGTCGTGGGGGAGGGACAGTCAGGCCCCAGGGCGCGGCATGCAGGGACTGGGTGGGGCAGGTGGGAGGGGACCCAGGCTGGTCTCCGAGTGCACAAGCCGGGCACCCCGCGGGGCCAGGGGTCCGACAGGGGCCTGCGGGGGCTGGGGCTCCGCGCAGGGTGGCCACGGGGGCCGCCGGCCCCCTCAGCGGCCCTGAGCCTGGAGCCGCTGCATCTGCACGATCTGGCTGAGGATTCGCTGTACGTCCTGGTCCATCTGGCCCTGGGGCGCGGGCAGCAGAGAGAGACCCTGCTGCACCTGCCCCGGCTTCCCCGTCGGGCCCCACCCCGGCTCCCACGGACCAAGGCAGCCACGAGGGAAACGCACACAGACGGGCTCCAGTAGGACCAGCCTCCCACTGCACAGAAGGGGAAACTGAGGCCCCCGGAGCAGTCATGGCGTGCTCAAAGCTAGGCAGGCACCTGGAGACGGACCTGGGAGGCAGTGACTCACCTGAATGGCGTATAGCAGGTGGCTCCTGTACAAAGCCACCACGGCACTGTGGTCCCTGGCAGACTCCTGGGGGGACGGGGGAAGGGCACTTAGAAAAGCAAGATCCCCCCATCAAAACTCACCAAACTGCCCCCTTTGCACCCAAGTCTGTTTTTTTTATTTATTTTATTTATTTTATTTTTTTTTGAGATAAGGTCTTGCTCTGTCGCCCAGGCTGGAGTGCAGTGGCATCGTCATAACTCACTGCAGCCGCCAACTCCTGGGCTCAAGTGATCCTCCTGCCTCAGCCTCCCAAGGAGCTGGGACTACAGGCGGCACCACCACGCCTGTATAATTTTTCTATTTTTTGTAGAGATGGGGTCTCACTACATTGTCCAGGCTGATCTCAACCTCCTGGCCTCAAGCAATCCTCCTGCCTTGGCCTCCCAAAGTGCTAGGATTACAGGTATGAGCCACCGTGCCTGGCCTGGGGCCTGCGTTTTGATGGCATGCCCCAGGGTGACAGTCGATTGCTAAAGTATGGCAGTATTTTCTGGCCATGGCTTGAATGTGCACCCTCTGCACACAGACTGCCCTCCCCAGTCCCTCTTCTGGGCTCCCCGCCCCATGCTGTGCTGGTTGGCACAGATTTTGACACCCCTACCCGGATGCTGCCTGTCCCCTGCCCCAACCTCACCTCCAGTTGCTGCTGCAAGACCTTCACCTGGTCCCGCAGGGCCTCCACCTCGGGGGTGGCCGGGGCAGCCGTCTGCTCCTTCAGGGCCTCCTTAAGACTGAAAACTTCTTTGGAGAGTTCTGTGATCTGGAGGTGGGGACACAGTCAGTGACCAGCCTGGGCCCAGCGCTGGGGCCTGGGGACCTCCCCAGGGCAGCTGGGGGTTAGCAAACTCCGGACTGAGGGCCACGTCCAGCCCGCCCCCTGTTCTCCCACGGCCCCCCAGCTAAGGATGGTTTCCACATTTTTCAATGGTTACGGGAGCGGGGGGGAGGGGCAGGGGAAATGTAAAAATAAGAATTGAATTTTGTGGTGCGTGAAAATTATATCCGATTCACATTTCTGTGTTTATAAATAAAGTTTTATTGGCACACAGCCATGTCTATTTGTTCGCACGTTGTCTTGTGGCTGCTTTCACGCCACCTGGTAGAGTGGCGTAGTCGTGCCAGAGACCAGCTGCCCTATGGAGCAGAAAATATCGATTCTCTGGCCCTTTACAGAAAATGACCTCACACATCCGCCCTTGGGGTCTCCCATCTGTCAGTGGAGGCTGACGGGACAGCAGGGCTAGAAGCCGCCTGGCTGGTTGGGCTGGGGTTGATGCCCGGGGTTTGGGTCCCTTCTTTACTCTTCTCTCAAGGATGACTGGGGGAGGATGAAGTAACCTGAGCCTCAGTTTCCTCATCAGTAAAATGGGGAGAATCATGGTTCTTGCTTTAGTGGGTTGCTGGGATCCTGCAATGAGATTGACTTTAGAATGTGCGGCAAACAGTAGGCACTTAATAAATGCGGGACCTTATTATTACTATAGATCAGAGCTTCTCAACCACCAGGGGCCATTCACCCCCTGCTCGAGGATACTGGCTGATGTCTGGGGACATCTGTGGTTGTCATACTGGGGGTGCTTCTGGCATAGGGTGGGTGGAGGCAGGGACGCTGCTCAGCACCTGCAGTGCCCAGGACGGCCCCTCCCCAGAGAGCGATCCGGCCCCAAAGTCCACAGTGCAGAGGGGAGGCAGCACACTGTACATAAACCCTAATCCTAATGGCAATCTTGCCCTCATTTTACAAAGGAGGAATCTGAGGCTCAGAGAGGTGAAGCGACTTCTAAAAAGTCACACAGCGAATTGGGGCTGGGCGATTATCCTGAAGTGCCTGGGACTCTGGGGGTCACATCTCCTGTCCAGAGACATGCTGCGTGACTTTAAGCCACTCACTTTGCCTCTTGGAGCCTCAGTTTGCGCGTCTGGGAAATGGAGATAAAAATGTTTTCTGGCTTTTAGAGTTGCAGGAGCATTAAAAGTGATAATGTATGAAAAATACTCGACCCAACAACTGGAGGCTGCAGGTATCATCATCATCGTTGTCATCATCATTATTATTTAAGAACAGAACTTGGGGACATGGGTTTGAACCCTGTCTGAACTATTGCAAGGCTGTGTGACCTTGGGCAAATAGCTTCACCTCTCTGTGCCTAAGTTTCCTCAAATGGGGATAATAAAAGCACCTGTCTTATGGGCACTGGATGTGAGGGTTAAATGCCTTAAGTGCATGTTAAACGCCCATGTGTCTGACTCGTCAGAGGCCACAGCCAAGTCCCCTTCCTACTCTGTGCCTCAGTCTCCCATCTGGAAAATGGGCTGATTTTTCCAAGACCTGTTCAGCGGGGACATTCTTAGAATCCCTCAAACCTCCACTGAGGAGGGCCCCCCCAACTGGCATGGGAGAGGGGGCACCCACCTTCTTGTCCTTCTCCTTGGCCTTGTCCAGGGCCTCCTGGGCACGGCTCTGGGCCTGGCGTGCTCGCTCGACCTCAGTGCGTAGCCCGCGTAGCTGCTGCTCCGCCGTGGCCAGCTGGGCTTCTGCCGCGTGGCGCTCACTCTTCATGAACAGCGCCTCCCGCTGCACCTGCGGGCCAAGCCCACGTGCAACTCTCAGACACTTAGATAGACCCCAGGGTCCTTCTGACCCCACGACTTTGGCCTAAAGACATTCCAGCCCACGTTGATCCCCTTGGCCCTGAGAACATTCTGACCCTGCCATGCATTTCTGGCCTACTAGCTGTGTGGCCTTAGACAAGTGACTCAACCTCTCTGTGCCTCTCTTCCCTCATATGCAAAACAAAAACAACAGCCCCCCTTCACAAGGATAAAATGATCCAATACAGAGAATATGCTTAAAACAGTGCCTGGCACACGGTAAATGTTATAGTTGAGTTGGCGCTATGGTTACTATACTGCATACCACATTTTGTTGCGCTTTGCAGATACCACATTCTGTACAAGTTGAAGGTTTGTGGCAACCCCGCATCAGGCAAGTCTATCCCAGTAGTTTTTCCAACCCCATGTGCTCACTTCTACAGCACTTTTTAGCAATAAGGCTTTTTAAAATTAAGGCATATACTTTTTATAAGACATAATGTTATCGCACACATAACACATCATGATATAGTGTAAACATAATTTTCATGTGAACTGGGAAACCAAAAAATTCGTGTGACTGACCTTATTGTGATATGTGCTTTATTGTAGTGGCTAGAACTGAGCCTGCAATATCCCTGGGGTGTGTTTGTGACAACTTAGTATTATCAGCAATGTTCTCTCCTCTGCCAGTGGAGTGAAGGTTTGTAGATCTCGTGTGACACAAAAGGAAAAGTTGATGACTACATTTTCACAAAAATACCAAGACTGGAGGAAAGTTTATTTGTGTAATTCGATAGTTGACGGAGACTGGCTTTGAAATGATACCTCCAGGGAAAACAGGTAACAACTAGATTACACTTAGAAAGGATTGGCTACATAGTAACAATGTTTTAAAAAATCAGATACGTAAAATTTACCCTACAAAGAAATTATCATGGTTAGGGAAAAAACATGAAGATGGGGCATGATTCAGTTGAACTGTGAACTCTAGAAATAGACTGAGGATTTAAGGGGCTTAAAAGAGTGTGTCTTGGCCAGGCGCGGTGGCTCACGCCTGTAATCCTAGCACTCTGGGAGGCCAAGGCAGGAGGATTGCTTGAGCTCAGGAGTTCGAGACCAGCCTGAGCAAGAGAGAGACCCCGTCTCTACTAAAAATAGAAAGAAATTAATTGGACAACTAAAAATATATAGAAAAAATTAGTGGGGCATGGTAGTGCATGCCTGTAGTCCCAGCTACTCCGGAGGCTGAGGCAGGAGGATCACTTGAGCCTAGGAGTTGGAGGCTGCAGTGAGCTATGAGGACACCACTGCACTCCAGCCTGGGTGACAGAGGGAGACCCTGTCTCAAAAAAAAAAAAAAGGAAATTATTGTCCTTGGAAACACAATAATTCTGCTACCATTTACTGATCACTTGTACCAGTCTCCGTCCTAAGTAGTTTATAGAAATAAACCCATTTAAACGTTACACGAGGAGTAGAAACTACTAACATCTCTCTTGTACAGATGAGAAAACAGTGGCACAGAAAGGAAAATTCTTTCCTGACAACAATGAATGAACATAGCTTCTCATTCCCATATTTGTTAAACAGCTGCCAGTTCACTTGTTTTTTAAGCAAAGAGACGGAGTCAAAGGATCCACCATTAGAGACAAAAAATATTCCCTGGATTAAAAAAAAACAAAACCCAAAAACCTCAGCATCAGAGTCCACTGGGTTGAAAATAATGAGATAAAAAAATCCCTTCTCATAACACCCTCCTTCCAGAATGGTCAAAAGGTCAAACATGATCACAAGAGCACTTTTATGACAAGGTCAAAACACTCAGCTAGAAAAAAAAAAAACCCTCAGGATCAAAATGACCCCCAGAGAAAATGAACATTAGGTAAAAATATCAGGGCAAAATAAACTGAAACAAAAAACCAATTCACTGCTTACGAAACAGTTGTAATCACTGACCCCTACCTCACACCATAGACCCAAATGATAGAGGCATCGTAGACATCACTGTGAAACTAAAACAATAAACATGCTAAAAGAAAACCCAGGAGAACATCTTCACAATCTTGAGATAGACAAAGGTTTTTATAAACAGATCCCAAAAAGAAGTTAGCCATTTAGAAAAATAATAGCATCAGGCCGGGCATGGTGGCTCACTCCTGTAATCCTAGCACTGTGGGAGGCCGAGGCGGGAGGATCGTTCCAGCTCAGGAGTTCGAGACCAGCCTGAGCAAGAGCGAGACCCCGTCTCTACTAAAAAAAATAGAAAGAAATTAGCTGGACAACTAAAAATATATAGAAAAAATTAGCCAGGCATGGTGGCGCATGCCTGTAGTCTCAGCCACTCGGGAGGCTGAGGCAGGAGGATCGCTTGAGAGCTAGGCTGACGCCACGGCACTCTAGCCCGGGCAACAGAGTGAGTCTCTGTCTCAAAAAAAAAAAAAAAATAGCGTCAAAATGGCCAAAGAGTGTTTAAAAAGCAGAAACAAGTCGAAACACCCAGGTTGGGACGGCTGCGGGGTCAAATGTCCACCTGAAAACACTGGCAGAGTCAAACATCTGTTCAACTCAAACAGATGGGGTCAAAACATCCCACAGTGGCAGGGTCAAAACAGGCCACCAAGTGGCCACTGGGTGAACCGGGGGTAGGTGGGACTGGCCACGCTCACCTGGAAGACCTCGGCGCTGGTCCTCTCGTGCCGCCGTCCCAGCTCCTCCAGCTGCCCCTCCAGCCGGGCCACGTCAGCCCGCAGAGCGCCCACTACACGCTCGTGCTCCGAGAGTGCCACGCTGCCCACGCGCTCGCGCTCCAGCTCTGCCCACAGCCGGGCGGCCTCCTTGCCCGTGGCCACCACCTCCTGCTCCAGACTGGCCGCCCGGCCCCGCAGCTCAAGGGCCTCCTCCTGCAGCCGCTGGTGCTCGGAAGCCGGCACCGCAGACTGGCGCAGGGCCTCGGAAGCCTCACGCAGCTCTGCCAGCCCCCGCCGGGCCTCCTCGCAGGCGGCGGCCAGCTCAGCAACCCGGGCCTCCGCCGCATCCCGCGCGCGGCCCAGCTCGGCGGCCGCAGCCCGCTGCTGCTCGCCCGTGGCCGTGGCCGTGGCCAGCTGTTCCCGCAGGGCCTCCAGCTCCCGGCTCTGCTCCAGCCGCACCTCCTCCCGCCCGGCCAGCTCTGCCCGCAGGCCCCGGGCCTCCTCCTCGGCCAGCAGCCGGCCAGCCCGGGCCTCGTCCAGCCAGGCCGTGGCCTCCTCCAGCTCCCGCAGGCGGGAGTCCCGGGCTCGGAGGTCCTCCCGGGCCTGCTCCAGGGCCGCCCGCAGCTGGGCCGTGTCGCTGCCACCGCTGCCTCCACCGGTCCCGCTGCCCTCGGCCTCACGCACCCGCTCCCGCAGCCGGCCCGCCTCGGCCTCCGCGGCCTCGCACTTTCCGCGGGCTGCCTCCAGCTCCGTGGCCGCCTCTCGCTCCCGCTGCCGGAGTGCCTCCTCTAGGCCACGAATCCTGCTCTCCAGCTCTGCCTGCAGCTTTTCCGAGGCCTCAGCAGCACCAGGGTGCAAGACAGGGCCAGCGGGGACTCCCGGGGCTGTGGCCTCTACTCCCGTGGGCTCCACATCCGTGGCACCAAAGCCCGTGGCCCCCACGTTTGTGGTCTCTGTGTCTGCACGCTCTGCCTCCCCAGGACCCACTCCACTGGTCTGCATTTCTGGTTTTTCTGCTTTTGTATTCGTGGCCTCCACTCCCGTGGCCTCAGTCCCCGTGGTCTTAGTTTCAGTGTTTTCGTCCCCTTCCACAGCCTTCGTGTCGGTGCCCTCGGCCCCCAAGGATTTGGTTTCTGTGGCCTCGGTTCCCGTGGATGCAGCTTCCAAAGTCCTGGCTTCTGTGGTTTCGACTCCCGCAGCCTCCTCATCTGTGGCCTCGGTTCCATTAACTTTGGTTTCTGGAGTGGCAGTGCCACTGAGCTCCGTGTCTGTCAGCCCATTTTCCGTGGCCTTGGTTCCTGCACCCTCGCTATCCCCGCAAGCGGCCTCCTCTTCCCCAGTGACCTCCCGTGACTGCAGCCGCCTCAGCGCGCTCAGGGCGTCAGCGTGCTGCCTGCGCAGCTGGTCAAACTCGGCCCGGAGAGAGTCGTAGAGGGCCAGGGGGATGACCTCGGCGGGACCAGCCACCTCCATCTGCGTCTCGTCCTTCTCGAACTCCTCCAGGATCTGGGCAGGGGAGGCAGGCAGGCAGGGGTTGAAGTGGCCACAGACGCACAGGGTGGCGTCACCACCTTCCCTGCCCACCCCAACCCTGGGGAACAAGCCCTCAGCTCCTCAGATCTGTCGCCGGCCTCAGTTTCCCCACCTGGACCTTTTCCATCAGTTCCCGGTTCTGCCTGGTGAGTGCAGCCACCTGCTCTTGCAGTGAGGCCAAGCGCTCCTGGGCCGACGGGCTTAGCCGCCTGGACAGCAGTGCCTCGGCCCCTGGAGGGGGGCGCAGAGTCAGGACCCAGGGTCCCAGCCACAGGGGACAGGAGCTGGGGGTCCCCGGGGCAGGCTCGGGCAAGTGGAATAGAAACCCGGTGAGTGCAAACCTCCCTCCCGGCTCCAAATCCTCCCGCACCTGTAGGTCAAAGCTCTGTCTCCAGGGCCCTGGGGACAAGGTGCGTGGAGGTGCGGGGGGCGTGGACAGGGTGGCAGCTCACCTGGGAAGTCAGGCAGCTCGCCCTCCTCATCTTGCAGGGTGGACACGTCGTAGCTGGTATTCTCCCGCTCGTTCTGGGGGTGGGAGCACAGCTGACTTGGAGTCCTGCCACCCTACCCTGTGTGTCCCCCGCTCAAGACTCCAGAGTGGACTAGGCTGTTCCCGAATATCAGAGCAGCTACGTTTGGCCCACACGTATTTACTAAGCGCGTACTATGTCCCTTGCCCATTTTTTAACTGGGTTATTTGGTTTTTTGGCTACTGATTTATGCTTCCTCATATACTTTGGATATTAACTCCGTATCAGACATGGGGTGTTCCTGCACCCCCCAACTTCCTGGGATATGTGCGGTGGACACTTCCCTCCTGGCTGGGGGAGCCCGGGGCAGGTGTGGTCACGTGGCTGTGCATGTGCTTGTCTGCGTGAGTGGGCGCCCGCGCTATCCGTCCTGCACCCACACAGCTTGCCGTAGGTGCGTTTGCGATTACACGTGTGGGCGCAGTTTTGTGGGTGTGCGCGCTGTGTGTGTTCTTGTGACTGTGTGATTACAGGCTTGTGTTTTATTTTATTACTATTTTGAGACAGATTCTTGCTCTGTCGCCCAGGCTGGAGTGCAGGGGTGTCATCATAGCTCACTGCAGCCTCCAACTCCTGGGCTAGAGCGATCCTCCTGCCTCAGCCTCCTGAGTAGCTGGGACTACAGGTGCCACCACCACGCCCAGCTAATTTTTCTATTTTTAGTAGAGATGGGGTCTCGCTCTTGTTCAGGCTGGTCTCGAACTCCTGACTTCAAATGATCTTCCCACCTCGGCCTCCCAGAGTGCTGGGATTACAGGCGTGAGCCACTGCACCGGACCCATGCTTCAGTCTGCTGTGTGTGCACGGTAGTTTTGAATGTGTTTGTGCATATGTGTGTGTGCGAGTATGGTCGTTCATATGTATATATGTTTCTGTATTTACGTGTTTTGAGATCCGTTTGCCGTGCGTGCGTGCACGTGTGCGTGTGTTGTCTGTGGAGTGACCAAATGAGAAAGCTCTGCCCGATACCTGTGTGCACACGAGTGTACGATGCACGCGTGAGCGTGAGATGGTGTATTCATGGGTGGCTTCTTGTGCGTCTGTAAACTGTGTGTTTGTGGGTGCGCTTGCTGGTGTCCGTGGAAGATCGTGTGTCTATGAGCATGCGTGTACACGTGTTTGGAGAAGTGTCACATATGTGTGCGTGTTTGTGGGTGTGCATCTGTGTGTGTGCGCATGTGCGCGAGGCCGTGTGTGTACTGGTGTGGCTGTCATGCCACCACGGCAGGAGGGAAGCTCCTCCCGCCCCTCCCCTGCTCCCCACCTCCAGCAGCGACAGGCGGCTCTGCAGACTCTCCACCTCGCGCCCCAGACTCTCCTTCTCCTCTTGCTTCTCCGCGAGCAGCTGCTGCAGCTCCTGCACCTGGGGGCAGGTGGTGGCGGCTCAGCCAGCTCCCAGGGGACACCCCGGCTCTGGAGGCCGCCCCCGCTTCCTGCCTACCTGCCTCTCCAGGCTGTGCAGGGAGCTGGCCTCCGCCTCTGGTGGCTGACGGGGACAGAGGGGACAAGGGGTTGGACCTGGGCGAGGACCCCCAGCCCTACCGCCTGCTTCGCAGCCTCTATTCCACCCCAGATGTCCCTCCTGCCCACCCACTCACACCGCATGTGTTCATTGAGCACCACTGGGTTCCAGACACCATTCTGCCTGCCCACTCATTACTGAGTATTTATTGAGCGCCACTGTGTGCCAGACACCATGCTGCCTGCTCACTCCTTACCGAGTATTTATTGAGTGCCTATTGTGTGACAGCCATTGCTCTGACTGCTGACTCAGTCTTTATTGAGCACCTACTGTGTGCCAGACACCATTCTACCTGCCGACTCCTTACTAAGTATTTATTGAGCGCCACTGTGTGTCAGACACCATTCTGCCTGCTCACTCCTTACTATTTAGTGAGCACCTGCTGTGTGCCAGACACCATTCTGCCTGCTCACTCCTGAGTACTTATTGAGCACCTGCTGTATGCCAGACACCATTCTATCCACTCATTCACTCAACAGGTTTTTGCGGAATGTCAACTTTGGGGCAGACCCTGTTTGGGGCCACTCATTCATTCATTCATCCATCCATTCACTCGCTCACTCACTTGACTATTCCTTCACCCCATAAATCTTTATCAGGCACCTACTGGGAGCCAGGCACCCACCACGTCCGCCCCCGTGGCTTACAGTCCAATGTGGGCACGTGAATTGTTGGGGGCAGAATGAGGAGGGGAAGGGAGGGAGAAGGGGCGGTAGGGGGAGCCTTCCCCCCTCCCAGGCTGGGCCCCAGGCCTGTCTCCGCTGCCTCCGAACCTCCTGCTTTCTCCGTTCCCTGTGCTGTTCCAGGCCCCGGATCTTCTGCAGGAGGCGGCCCCTCTCCTGCCGCAGCCTCACGATCTCTTCATAGGCGTCTCGGTCATCCTGTCCCCCTCCCCGCCCACTACGTTTAGCACAGGCCCAGGGCTGCCCTCTGGGGGGCTCTCCTCCCCCAGCCCCCCAAGGCCGGGGCATCTCTCACCGGCACAGGGATGCTGGCGGGGGGTTGGGGCGCTTTCCGCTTCTTGGGAGCCCCTCGCTTTTCATGGCTGGACACAGAGTTCTAGCGGGGGTGGGGAGGGGGGACAGAGCGAAGGGGCCCATGGGAGCCACGCCAGCCCCGCATCCACCCAAATAAACCAACCCAGCTGCCCCCCCGACTTCCTCAGCGAGTCTCTGCCTCCCTCTGGTCCTTCACGCCCGACAGTCCAGATCTTATGTTTTTCTCTGCCCCTCGCGCTGCACTTCCCGCAGCTAGACAAGATCGTCTACAAGTTTGCTCTTTCCTTCCCCATGGCGCTGAGATGCTAGCAAACTGGGAGAGGGCAAGACACCAGACCTGCCCCTTCCCTGAGGACCCCGCCCCATGATTTGGCCCCATCACCCCCCGCCCCAGTTTCTCACCCACTCCGGGAGTTACGCTGTGCATGCTGCCGCCACTTAGTGACAGCGTACCCTGAAGATAGCATTCTCTCCAAACAGGGTTTCCCAGGCGTAACTCTTTCTTCTCTCCTCCCAGAGCTCGGGGCGAGGGGGAAGGGGGTGTGTGCACGGGGAGGGGAGGACTCACCCACCACACGGGGACCCGTACCTGAGACGACGCTTCGCCCGAGTCATCTTCTGGGAGGGCAGGGGACAGGGGTAAGCAGAGTCAGGCACCCTACTCCCAGCCCTGGGAAGGGCATTCATGCGCCCGGGGGACCTGCCCCATTCCTCAAGAAGCAGGACTTTCAAAGGAGAAACCCACCACTTTGGCAGAACGCTGAAAGGAGGGGCCTTGGAACTCCCCGAGGGAGAGAACCGAGGCATCTCCGCGGCGGGGTGGGCAGGGGCGCCAATTCTTAGGAAAGGCAAAGATCTCGGAATAAGGATGGCCCAGAAAAGCAGAGAGGACCCCCAGCCTGCTCTAACTGCACTAGCGCTCCTGGAAACTGTCCTGCGTAGGACCACGTGAGCCCTGGAACCTCCCAGAATACAGCAAATGGGGGGACCGTGAAACTATTCATGCTAAGGAAAGAAGGGGTGACGAGAAACTGCCTAGAAGGAGATGCGGGGAGAGGGGGTCGCGCACAGTGCTTGAAATGGCTCCGAGGGGGGCTTGCATACCGCTGGGTGGGGAGGGGCGCTGGGCCGCCTCCTGCAGGAGATGAAGGATGAGTTTGTCCCCTGCCAGGGCGCCGTAGTGAGCCGCGTCCTGTCCCAGCGCGTCCGTGATGCCTGGCTGGGCGCCGCCCTGGAGAAGTACCTCCACAGTTTCGGGGCTGGCCCCCTCACAGGCCAGCATCAGGGCAGTCCTGCCAGGGGAGGGGCTACTGAGGAGGTGAGAACATCCCCCCAAACCCCCATGTCTTCCTGAACACCCACGCCATGTTGGGGAGAGAAAGCCAACTAGATCCCCCACTCAGAGAGGTTAAGAGATTTGCCCAAGGTCACACAGCACACAGTGGACCAGCTGAGAGGGGAGACGCATACCTGCCCTGCAGGTCCTGGTCATTCGCGGCAGCCCCCTGCTGCAGGAGGAGGCGGCACAGATCTGTGTGACACATCTGAGCTGCTATAATGAGGGGCGTTGCACCTGACTGGTAGGGAGGTGGAGGGATGAGATGGCATGAGAAGCTGACCCCTCAGGAGATACGGAAGCCTAGATGACCACCCTTGAGCTGCGCCCCAACCTTTCTCTTGCTTCGCAAAGGGTGCTTGGGATGCTGCCACTTGGTGGCAGCGTACCTCTAGTGTAGTATCTTTCCCAAAAGGATCCCAGAAGCTCACCCGATCGCGGGGGTTCAGATGTGCCTTGAAGGAGCAAAGCATCTCTGAGCAAGAGAGACAGCCGCCAGCCGCTGCAAGAAAGAAAAGGAGGGAGAGTAGGGGTAGGGTGGTCCACAGTGGTTCCCTCCTAAAGTGGAAGTCTTCACCGATTCTCATGTATTTCCTCTTTTTTTGATTCAACCAGCATTTATAGTGCACCTTCTGTGTGTCAGAGTGGAGGCAAGGAGGCTCACCAAGAGGCTGCTCAGCTGAGACAAGAGCACAGCCCCTGGAATCCCCGGGTTTGAATCCCAGCATGTTAACGCACAGTCTGATTAAGTACAAGGATCCATTTTTCAGTCAACAAACTCTATCTGAATACCTGCTGTGTGTACCTGACGGATTATGGGGTTTTGTTTGCACGCTTAATGGTGCATGACACATAGCAGGTGCTCAGTAAGTGTTCAAGGAACGAAAAAAACCAACGAGCTTCCGTAGCGTAACGAGAGGCATCGCCGCCACTAGGTGGCAGCGTACCCCAACTGCAGGGAATTTTTACCCAGTGACGAAAACCCCAAAGCAAACCCAATTTTATTGTGTTTCCAAAAGAACTGACATTTCTGGAGGGGGAAAGAGTGTGGGTTTGATGGTTACGAAGGCGCTGGCTGTCTGCACCTTTGGCCTTCCTGAGAGCCCCTAGGAGTTCCTCAAAGGAAATGAACCCCCGGGTACCTGCCCTCATGCCCAGAAAGGCATGGAGTTCAAATAGGCTGTGGTTTCGGGTCTGACGACCTGGATCCCCTACAACTTACTCCTGTGGGCAAGTGACAGAGCCTCATGTAGCCTCATCTGTCCAATGGGCTGACAGTCTGAGGCTCAAAGGATGTCTGGGACTCACGAGGCACCCCTGAGCCTGGCACACAGTAGGTAAGGCAAGAAGGCTCACAGCAGGTCTGCAGGGCCCCGGGTGGAATACTCCCCAAGCCCAGCACCCTCTGGACCACAGTGGTGGGCAGGGCACGGCTGCACCCACCTGCATGGTGCAGGGCGGTCCACCCACTGCTGTCCACAACATCCACCACGCAGGAGGCCTGGGGAAGGGGCGAGGCATTTGAGGCAGAGCCGTCCCTCCTCCTAGCCTGATTTCTCTAGGACCCCCTTCTCTCCCCCTGTGCTCCGCCTCCTCTTCCCCCAGCCCACCTGCCTGCCCTGCGGAGCCCACCTCCTCACAGACCCCTAAGTGACTCTCTTTGCTTTCATGAGAGTTGGTGAGAAAGAGGAAGTAGCTGGGAGCTTGAGGAGTAGCTGGGAGCTCTGAGAATGGCTGTGGCTAAGAAAGGCGCTAAGGTCTGGGGAGAAAGGGAGCTCAGGAAATATCTGGTACTGAGAGTACACCTTAGGGGGGAGAAGTATCTGGAATGCTCAGAGAGTATCTGGTGATCCAGGGAGTAGCTGGGGCTCTGGAGTAAAAGGGGCCAAGGACTATTGGGATGCGTGGAGCATCTGGGGGTTCGGGGAATTGCTGGAACTCAGGAGTAGTAGGGGCCAATGGAGTATCTGGGGTTCAGGGAGTATCTGAGGCAAGAAAGGAAATGACCTGCAGCAGTTGCTTCAAGCACTGTGGGTGCCCGTACTTGGCGGCTAGGTGGAGAGCGTTGTAACCTGAAAGGGAGAGGAGATGTACTAGAGCCCCAGATACTCAAGGAGCTCCCAGCTGCTCCCCAAATCCATATCAGCTATTGGTAATGAGTTTCCCTGTGTCTAGCAAGTCCCCAAACCCCCGATATGTCTCAAAGCCATGCTACTTCTTGTGGCCAGAGACTCTCCAAGAGAACCCCAACCCAGCGACACTCCACACCCACCTACTCCCCAAGCCCTATTACTTCAGCTACTCCTCCTGTCCTCAGCTACTCTATATGGTCCATTACCACAAAGCTCCAGCTCTGCCCCTCGATCCACAGTTGTTCTGTATGTCCCTGCTCATCCATATCCCTTGCACTTCTGTGCGCCACGCATGTCTCTGTTTGAAACTCTATGAACCCCCAGCCACTCTGTACATCCTGCACACTGTGCCCCGTGCCTAGTCGCCCCCCGAGCCCCCACTGCCCACCCTGGCCATGCATCTCATCTCACTTATTCCCACAGGTCCCCGGGGAAGTCACACAGCCAGATTCTCCTTTTGCCCCAGCTACTCCCAGAGCTGCAGCTGCTCCCATGAACCCAGCTTCTCCCCCAAACTCTGGGTACTTCCCTACTTCAGTCCCTGCCTTGATCTCCCACACTTCCACAGCCCAGGTGCACCTCAAGTCCCAGCTCCTCCCAGGATACCATCTGTCTCCCAAGCCCCAGATTCCTCCCCCGCCTCGATCACTTTCTCAGAAACCTCCCCAAGCCAGCTGCTTCCCCGTTCCAGCTACTTCCTCTAATTCAACTACCACTTGGGTTTCAGTTACTCCCCATCCACAAGTTGTCGACCCACCTTGTTTGGTGCCAGCCACAGTCTCTGTCCTTGGGTAACTGCAGCCTAACATGCCCCGGGGGGCAGTGGAGGGGTGGAGAAGGGAACCACCCTTTTCAACAAGGAAAAACGAAGCCCTGAAACAAGGCCCGGCCGGAACCCCCGGCCGGGCAACCGGGCCGAAGTCCCCCCCCCCGACCTCCCCAGGGACCCAGCTGGCAGTACCTGCCCCATCCGTGCTCATGACATTGGCGCCGTGTGACAGCATCACCTCCAGACAGCTGCCTGCGCCCCTCATGGCCGCCAGGTGGAACCTGCAGGTCAGAGGTCAGGGGTCAGCCGAAGGGCAGCCTCCCCTCAGCCATGCCACCCCAGAGCGTGGGCACTCACGCGGACTTGCCCTCGGGGTCCAGCTTCGTGGGCACCAGCCCCTTGCGGGAGATGAGGGCGGCCACCCGGGAGGCGTCGCTGTTCTCCACGGCCTGCAGCAGCCTCTCGTCACTTTTGCCCCAGTCTTGGCTCTGCGGGACACACCCAGGGGCGCGTGGGGCAGGGTCGGCCGCTGCCCCCTCCCCGCTGCCCCTGGCAGGGGCTCTGGTCTGTCACCGCCCGCCCCCGGGCACTTGCCTGGCGCCTGCCTCTGGCTGCCGGCTTCGGGAGCGGGCAGGGGCCGCAGGGTGGGCAGGAGCCGAGGTCGGCGGGGCTGAGCCGCAGCTGCAGGGGGAGGCGGTCCTGGGCGGGAGCCTCGGATGGGGTCCCCAAGCCTGTGCCCCCCAGCATCTGCCCCCAGGCCCATCACCCCAGTTGTCCCCCCAAAACCCATCGCCAGGATCATCCCACTAAACCGTCCCATGAGCAGCCCCCAGCAACCATTTCCAGAAAGTTGTTCCCCACACCAAGACCCCAACTCTGTCTTTAATGAAAAGCCCCCTTTGCAAACTCACCCAAAACGCTGATCCTTTTCCAAACTGCTCTCCACATTCTCCCCATCTGAACCCCTAAAAGGCCCCCCTGGGTGTCACTCAACACCATCCTCCGCCAACTGCCCCCAAACTGTCACAGCTGTGCCCCCAAATCCCAAGGCCTGTCCCCCACAAACCATAGCCTGAAATGCCTTCCAAAATGTCTCCACCAAATGTCTCCCTGAAGTGACCATCCCCCAGTGACCCAAAATCCCTCAAATGGTCCCCAAAACTGTTCTCCAAGTGGTGTTGTCTCTTCCCAGAAACGGCCCCCCAAAATAGTCTCAGACTTGTGCCCCCAAAATGACCCCACGTCTCCAAAATGTTTTTCTAAAACTGTCTCCCCAAATGCCCTCTAAATTCTCCTAAATGTCCCCATCTGTCTCAAAACTGTTTCTCCAGAGGTCTCATCCACCCTCCCCCCCAAAGCTGTCCCC